CATTTAGAAAGCGATTTCTTTTTCTGAAAACTAGCCTGAAGGCTCTTTGGAAATCTCAGTTTCTGAACTTATTAAAATGTGAAAACATTTAAAATCTCTTTGGGAATACTTAGTCCCCATATACTTTTGAAGAAATGAACTTCAATCTATGCTCTTTACTCTTTACTCAACTTGAACTTTAAGTCTTACAACAAGGTTAAAAGCATATGCAAAAGACTTCTTGAAAAGACTCTGAAAACTTCCTAGACTTGGCTCTTGACTTTCTTTGAATTTGAATTTATGGATTCAAGGTTATGATTCATGTTTATGGATGATTTCTAGGTGTTTAGAAGTCATTTAGAGTAGTTAGAATCAATGGAAAGTGTTAGGACACTTTAGAATAACTTAAATAGGCTAAACGACGAAAAAACTGGTAAAAAATGTCGATCTGAGAGCGTCCCTGGCGCACCACGCCAGGCCCCAACTTATTGGGGCTTGTTTTGGTGCACTGCAGGTGCGCTGCCCCAGCCTCCTGGAGCTATGGGGGCGCGACGCGCCTGGCCCTACCCAGGTGCGTCTGATGAGTTTTTCAACTCGTTTTCTGATCCTAAATTGTTTCAATCTGATTCTTTTTCCCAAATTCACCTTAGATTCATGTACCCAAATCATATGCACAAAAATCTAACCCAAACAACTCAAGGAAACAACATTTAATCATCAAGAAACTCCTTAATCCCAACTCATATTCAAGAACGAAATCAATTCAAGAACAACTTTCAAGAACATCAATTTCTCAATCTTTTTAGGACGAAAATACGATGAATTAAACATGCTTGGCACGCGGGTGAACTAACCCAATGCTATGTGATCTCACATACCTTGTAGGGATCACCCCCAACGAATTCCACAAGCCAAACTCCGACGATCTTGAACGTTCTTGCTTTTTCTTCTCCTTTCTCCTCAGCCCTAGCGTGAAAACCCAAATTCTAAAACTGACTAAAATCTGATTTGACCCATATTAAACTCCTAAAAATGGATTAAAATAATAGGGCAATGGAAAGACTAAATTACCCCTTAAAATTCCGGATTGGACATTTCCTTAATCCAACAGCCCAATTTCCAAAGAGCATAACTCACTCATCCGAACTCGAAATTGCACAAACTTGGAGGCGTTGGAAAGATCATTCCAATAGATTCTTGGAACTACACCTAACTCATCATGAGTTAGGATTTATGATCATTTGAAGTTGACCAAAAACTCACTTTAACTTACTTAAAATTTTCCAGATTTCCTTGTACTTTCCAAAAATGGCTATTTCCATATTTTTAACATTTTTCTAGTTGCGAGATGTTACAATATCTCCCCCTTGGGAACATTCGTCCTTGAATGAGATTACTCTTACTAGGCTTAGGGTGCAACATCAAACTCAAACACCGAACAAGCAAATGCAAAAAAACAACATGTTCATTTATAAATTACAGAGCACTAAGAAAAATTTAGTACCTTGATCTGCACTTTCTTTGGATTCAAACAGATGTGGATATCTATTCTTCATGTCCTCTTCAGCTTCCCAAGTAGCTTCTTCAACAAATTGGTTCCTCCAAAGGACCTTGACTGATGCTACCTCTTTTGTTCTCAACTTGCGAACTTGGCGATCTAGAATCTGGACAGGAATCTCCTCATGGGATAAACTACCCTTGATCTCAATGTCTTCAGTTGGTATGATCAATGAAGGATTGCCCATGCATTTCTTCAACATGGAGATGTGAAACACCGGATGAACCGATGCTAGCTCTGGTGGTAGCTCCAACTCATAAGCTACATTACCCATCATTTTGGATATTCGATAAGGCCCAATAAACTGGGACTAAGCTTCCCCTTCTTACCAAACCTCATAACACCCTTCATGGGTGAAACTTTCAAATATACCCGATCATCTACTTCAAACTCTAACACCCTTCTCCTAACATCAGTATAGGATTTTTGACGACTCTGTGCCGTTTTCAACCTCTCTTTAATCACTTTCACCTTCTCCATAGCTTGATGGACTAAATATGGTCCTATCAATCCTGCTTCACCAACTTCAAACCATCCAATAGGAGATCTGCATCTTCTCCCATAGAGGGCTTCATAAGGAGCCATTTGGATGCTAGAGTGGTAATTGTTATTGTAAGCAAACTCAATGAGAGGTAGGTGACCATCCCAATTACCTTTGAAATCAATCGCACATGCCCTCAACATATCTTCTAATGTCTGAATAGTGCACTCTGCTTGCCCATCTGTCTGAGGATGAAAAGCAGTACTTAAGTTTACCTTTGAACCCAAACCTTTCTAAAAAGATTTCCAAAATTGTGCACCTCTATCTGAAATAATGGAGACTGGACTCCATGAAGTCTTACCACCTCCTGAATATATAACCTGGCATAATCCTCTGCTGAATGGGTAGTCTTTACGGGTAAAAAGTGGGCTGATTTTGTCATTTTGTCTACAATCACCCAAATAGAATCATGATGTCTGCAAGACCTTGGTAAACTTGTGATGAAATCCATATTGATCATCTCCCACTTCCATTCTGGAAGTTCTATTTTCTAAGCCAAACCACCGGGCCTTTGGTGCTCTACTTTAACTTGTTGGCAATTTGGACACTTAGCAACAAATTTTGCAATGCCCTTCTTCATGCCATTCCACCAATAAACCTCTCTCAAGTCACGATACATCTTTGTGGAACCCGGATGAATGGAATATCTGGAGCTATGAGCCTCCTTCATGATCCTCTCTTGGAGTCCATCCACCATTGGTACATACAATCTACCTTGATATTTCAATACACCATCTCCCCCTTGTTCAAAAGCTAATACTTTTTGCTTAAGAACATTTGTCTTCAATTCAAGCAAAATAGGATCTTGGTCTTTCTTTTCTTTAACTTCTAACACTAGTGATGATTTAGCCCCATTCAACACCACTACTCCTCCTTCTGTGGAATCCATTAGTCTGACTCCTAGGCGTGCAAGTCTATGCACATCATTTGCTAACTCTCTTTTTTCTTCTTCGACATGGGCAGTACTACCCATAGACAACCTGCTTAAAGCCTCAGCAACCACATTAGCCTTACCTAGGTGGTAAAGATTACTCATGTCATAATCCTTGAGTAATTCTAACCACCTCATCTGTCTGAGATTGAGCTCCTTCTGAGTGAACACATACTGCAGGCTCTTGTGATCGGTGAACACATCCACACCATAAAGGTAATGGCGTCATATTTTCAAAGCAAATACTACAACAACTAATTCTAAGTCATGGGTTGGGTAGTTCTTCTAATGAACTTTCAACTGTCTGGAGGCATAAGCTATAACTTTGTCATTCTGCATTAACACACAACCCAAACCAACTTTAGATGCATCACAATAGACAACGAAGCCTTGTGTACCTTCTCGTAAGGTCAAAACTGAGCAATAGTTAACCTCTTTTTCAATTGTTGAAAGCTTTTCTCACAAGCTTCAGACCATTGAAATTTCACTGTTTTCTGAGTCAACTTCGTCAAATGAGACGAAATAGACGAGAACCCCTCCACAAACCTTTTATAATATCCAGCCAAGCCCAAGAAACTCCTAATATCAGTTGGAGATATGGGTCTAGCCCAATTCTGCACTACCTCATTTTTCTGAGTATCAACCTTAATCCCCTCCCCAGACACAATATGGCCTAAGAATGCCACAAACTCAAGCAGAAATTCACACTTAGAGAATTTAGCATACAACTCCTTATCTTTCAAAGTCTGAAGAACTATTCTAAGATGACTAGCATGATCTTCTTCATTCCTTGAATAGATTAGTATGTCATCAATGAAGACGATAACAAACATATCTAAATAAGGTTTAAAGGCTCTATTCATAAGGTCCATAAACGTTGCTGGTGCATTAGTTAAACCAAACAACATGACCAAAAACTCATAATGACCATAACGGGTCCTGAATGCTGTCTAGAAAATATCACATTCCCTTACTTTCAACTGATGGTAGCCAGATCTGAGAACTATTTTCGAGAAACAGGAAGCACTCGGAAGCTGATCGAAAAGATCATCAATTCTCGAAAGAGGATACTTATTCTTAATGGTAACCTTGTTCAACTGACGGTAATCTAGACACATCCTAAGGGAACCATCTTTCTTTCTCACAAACAAGACCAGAGCGCCCTAAGGTGAGACACTTGGTCGAATAAAGCCCTTATCTAATAGACCCTTTAACTGGTCTTTAAACTCTTTCAACTCTGCTGGTGCCATTCTATATGGCGGAATAGATATGGGACGAGTATCTGGAAGAATATCTATATCGAAGTCTATCTCTCTCTCAGGAGGGGCTCTGGGAAGATCATTTGGAAAGACTTATGGAAACTCTTTTACTACTGGAACTGACTGAATATGAGGTATCTCAACACTAGAGTCATTAACTCGGACCAAGTGATAGACACACCCCTTAGAAACTAACTTTCTTGCCTTAAGGTACGAAATTAAATGACCCTTAGGCACTGCTGAACTGCTTTTCCACTCGAAGACTGGCTCATTTGGAAACTGAAACTTGACAACTCGAGTTCTACAATCAACTGAGGCATAACAGGCATGAAGCCAGTCCATACCAAGAATGACATCAAAGTCTACCATGTCTAACTCAACTAGATCAGCCATAGTACTCTTGTGATTGACGAAAACAGGACAATCACGATAGACTCTCTCTGCTAGAATAGACTCACCAACAGGTGTAGAAACATTAAATGGTTCACTAAGTTGCTCAGGAATAACATCAAAGTTCATAGCAACATATGAAGTTACAAAAGATAAACTCGCTCCCGAATTTAGCAGGGCATAAACAGTAAAGTCAAAAACTTGAATCATACCAGTGACAACATCTGCTGAATCATCTTGCTCTTGACGACTGTTAATAACATATAAGCAGTTCGTTTCTCCGCTAGTACCGGAAGTAGCCCCTCTAGGTGCTTTTTTGTCTGGTGGAACAATTGAAGAAGACTAGGCTCTATTACCCCCATTACCGCTTCCCTGCTTGCTCTTTGGCCACTCTCGTATGAAATGCCCACTCTGACCACACTTGAAACAACCAGTGGAGCCCTCACGACAAATACCTAAATGCTTCCTACCACACTTGGCGCATGCAGGAGACTTACTACCCCCTTGTGCCACGCTACCCTGAGAATAAGCAGGTTTAGCTCTGAAGTTCTGATTATTGTACTCACATTTGTTCTTAGGTGTAGGTTCACTAGCATATAATGGAGCAGGGCCCTTCTGTTTTTGTTGGAAGGATGACCGGTTGGCATTACTTTTCTGCTGCCCGGACTCATTCTCTGTCTTAGCCCTCTTGTTCTTGAATTCGTCTTTATCCCTTAGCTTCTCTTCCTCTACTTGTTGCACATATACCATCAACCTCGAAATGTCTATGTCCCCAATAAGCATTGCTGCCCGGCCCTCTTTGCTCGATAGACGGGACAACCCAGCAACAAACAGACTCATTTTACTCCTCATGTCCGCAACTATTTTCGGAGCATAGCGAGATAGTTGGGTGAATTTCAACCCATACTTATGAACTCTTAGAGAATCCTACTTAAGTGTGAGGAACTCATGTACCTTGGCCTCTTTCAGTTCTCGGGGAAAGAAATGTCCTAAGAAAGACTCTTCAAAACAGGCCCAACTCGCAGGTGGTGCATCCTCAGCTCTACCCCATTTCCACTAATCAAACCAAGTCCTAGCAATATTTTTCATATGATATGCAACTAGCTCGACTCTCACAGTGTCAGTAACATGCATCACATCGAACACATTTTTTAGTTCATCAACAAAGTTCTCTGGATCCTCAGAAGTACTTGAACCAGTGAAACTTGGAGAATTCATCCTCAAGAACTCACGAATCCTTGAAGTGTCCACCTCTTCATGCCAAGCTCCTCTTTGCTGCCCATCTTGACTAGTCACAACTTGACTCAGCATCTTAATTGCCTCTATGAACTCAGCATTGGTAACTTCTCCTTGCGGTTGCACTTCAGGTGCATTGGGTAACTCTTGCTCCTCAACATTACGCCTAGCAGGACGTCCTCTGAAAGCTTTTCGTGGAGGCATGATTATCTGAAAAACACGTGCAAGCACGAATTAGAGGGAAACTTTTTAGAGATTAAACTTTAACGCACGAAATGAGTGTGAAAGAAGCGAGATAGTTCCTAAATGTTGCAGCCTCATAATTATAAATGTGGTGTGCTACACACCGATAACCAGGACTCTACAGACACGGATTCATAGACTCCCTAGGACTCTTGAACTCTGTGCTCTGATACCAAGTTTGTCACTCCCCGACCCTAGTTACATATGTCTGCATCATTATAAGATGCAGACCAACTGGCATCAGTGCATTGAATGTATGAGTATGCGAGTTGGAATGCTAACAAACATAGGCTTGAAAGGGAATCTAAAAGAAACACTTACCTTGGCTCTTCTTAACTCATGAATACTTACTGAACTCATTTCAATATAAAGCAGTTTAAAACAAGTGCAATATAAAGAAAAGTTGTTTAAAAACATGATGACAACTCTGTGCATATACAAGGATACAACAACTCTGAAATGTATGTAAAAATACAATAAACTGATGTATATAAAAATACAATAAACTGATGTATATAAAAATACAATAACTTCTCTGGGAGTTTCTCTAACCGACAACCATCACATTAGAGTTATAGTGATGATACAATGATCTACCTCACGCTGCCAGCGCATCCTATACCCGACCAAAGGTATAAGACCTAAACTACTAAGTGGATCCACTAGTCTATAGTGCAAATGGTTCATCTAAAATGTATAACCCTTTTCTACACATGGTGGCTACATGGTTTTATGGAGACGTGGGTTATCTGAACTCATGACATGAGTTGGTACCTTGGTGATTGTTGAAAGTGTATGTGGTGATGTCTATTGGTATGTCTATGTCATGTGTTGATCCGTATAAGTTAGATTATTGAGTCTAAATGAAAATATTGGCACTAAGTGATGGAATTGATTGAGACAACCATATGATTGCTTGAGTTTGTATGTTTGCTTCTACATAAGTGTCATTTAGAGTGTTAGTGTGTCGCTTGAGGACAGACAACAAGTTTAAGTTGAGGGTGTTTATATACCGTAAGTTTACGATATTTTTGATACATTTCACTTAGAGTTTGTGTGTGTCTTGGGCTATTTTGTTGTTGGAAATAATGGTTTTATGTAATTCTTGCAAGAAATAACTTCGGATGCCGTTGATGAAGATAAGAGCTGAAAATTGTAGAAGTGGCCCGTGATGGGCCGTAGGTGCTGCAGCGTAGATGAATGTTCAAAGAAGTTTGACCAAGTGTAGAACCACAGAATCATCGATGGACCGTAGGTCGACCCACAGGCCGTCCTGCACATCCATCGTTGGTGATTAGAGAAGTGAAGTTCCAGTACTTGAACCACGGAGACAAGTGACGGACCGTAGGTCCAACCGTCATCTGAAGGCCATAAAATATTGCCCAATTGTTCATCCACGGAGGGTGACCACAGACCGTAGGTTGACCCATGATCCGTAGGTCGAGTCGTCGACGAAAACCGCGTCGAAGCAGTAATTTACTTATTTTGTTTAGGATTTGTTTTCTATAAATATTAGTTTGTAATTTTCGTTTTTGGGAGTTAGACATTATTGTATACTTTTAGTTTTTGATCTTTTGGAATTAACTTTGCAAACACTTAGCAGTTTAATTTCTGGAATTCGATTTATGCAAATTTCACTTTGAATTTCAATTCAAGATTTCGGTTTTTCATCTATTCTCATTGTAAGTTCATGAATTATTTTAACCTAATTATGAATTGTGATCTCAAGCATGAATAGCTAAATCCACAACTAGGGTTGTGGGAACCATGAACCATTAACAAAGTACGAGTAATAATTAAGTAATTCTTGAATAATGTTTATGCATATATTGTTAATCTTTTCATTTAGAAGTCTTTTTAACGGTTGCAAACATTAGAACTCACCTTGTTCCTACGTGCCTTACCAAGGGGGTAATGAATGAGAAAAGGATTAAACAACAGAGATTTAGTTAAGGATTTGTTGCTATCTAATAATCTGGTATCAATTGAAGTGAGGGTGAAAACTAAACTAAATTGATACGATGACTAATCAGGGGTGAAGGTAAGGGTTAGTAATGCACACACCCATAGACTTACCAAGTGGCGAGGTGAAAGTTCCCACTAGGATTATCAATTACATAGGAATACATAACTTAGCGGCCTTGAATGACAAACTCTACTATTATTAGGACTACTGTGTTAAAAGCTTGTGGGGAACACACATACCCTAGTTTTCATCTTATATTGATAACTCAAATTGTGAATCTTACTTACTTGTTACTTAATCTTTCTAATTAACAATTTGTGACTTATTTACAACAAACCCCCCTGTTACTTTTCTCGGAAATAGTTTGACTAAAAAGAGATAATTGTGAGTTAAGTTTAAAGTCTAAACCATATTCCTCGTGAGATCAATCCCAACTTACAAATTGGGTTCTTTACTTGATAACGATCACTTATTCTTCTTTAAGAGAGGTGTAATTTGAGCGTATCATTGGTGTCAACTTGTCCTTCAGCTCTTGGACTCTATGCTCCCAAGCTTCAGTTTACTGAAACTTAGCTCCTTTCTGAGCCAACTTTGCCAATGGTGTTGAAAGTAAATAAAACCCTCTACTAACCTTAGGAAACTACGAACCTCTATCAAAATTTAGGCTTGGGCCAAGTCTTCACAACCTAAATCTTCTGTGTATAAACCATATTACCAACATATGATACAATATGGCCTAAGAAAGTCACAGAGTTCAACCAGAACTCGCACTTAGTAAACTTCATATAGAGTTCCCAATCTCGAAGAACCTGAAGGACTGGTTCACAAATGATCTGCATACTTAGATTTTGAACGCCAGTACACCAAAATATCATCAATAAATACAATCACAAATACGACCTGAATATGTTATTCATTTGGTCAATGAACATCAGTAAGACATTGGTCAATCCAAATGATATAACTAAGAATTCAAAATGGCCATAGCTGGTTTTAAAAATTATCTTCGAAATATCTTTCTCCTTAACTCGTACCTAATGGTACCCTGATCACAAATCAACTAAGTACTTATCACCTTGTAGCTTATCAAACAAGTCATCAATCTTTGAAAGAAGATTCTTATTCTTTACAACTGGTTCCTGCGAAAGCAACTTCACTGAAGCGAGTCAGGCTTCATAAGAGCTGTTGTATCAGCAATTGTTGCATTAGCTAATTTGGGATAAAAATCCCAAGTCCCGAATAGACTTTTGAGATTCATCAATGGTCCTAAGAATGCAAATCATATATGACACCTAATCAAAATGACATTCCAAACTCGACAAAATTGACAAAACAATCAATGTAGGTCATCTCATCAAAATGTTGACCAAAGTCCACACTACAACCAAAAAACACTAAAGACAATCAAACAACCTAGCAATCCACACTCAACCCTTCCACTACGGGATCCTAACCAAACGTCCTACGAGACTAAACTCAATGCTCCAGAGCTAACGGCGCCAACAAAATTCTCATCCGAGCCGTTTACTAAGAATGTTGACCGAAGTCAATCATTTCAACACAAAAGTTTCCAGAAAAGGGAAAACTCACCTAAAGTTCTCCTAGCCTCCTCGGGAGGCGTGCTACCCATCCCAACACATCAAAACATAGTATAGGAGCTACAAAAAGGAGCAAAACAGGCAAAGCACATAAAGGGCTGAACAAAAATTAATCTTCTTGTTTCCCTCATTTATAATGATAATGAAATATACCTTTTAAATATCAATAATCATTGCATCAGTTGTTATAATTTACTACTAAGAAAATGTAGACAATATTAAGAATGAAATAAATAAGACTATTAGTAATTTGATGCAACTTTTTTTAATTTTAATATAAGGGAAATTTCAAAAAAAAATGAGAAAAAAGATAAATAGAGATCCTCGGCAAATAAGTATGTCATATCACCTTTTTCATTTTTAGCATTAGACATCCACCAAATGCATTATTTATAACATGACTCACTTAATTATGAATTAGAATCTTGCATAGTATAAGCAAAATAAGAATTGTAGTCAAAACTACATAAATCATAAGTCAGATTCAAGTTTTAGATTACAAAACCCCTACGGAAAATATAATCAATATCTAAAGTAATAAAGAAAGAAATAACACAACCAATATGTCAAATATCATTTTTCCAAACGAATGAATCACCTTCTATAGATGTGTCGTCAAAAAAAATAATCATGAAATGCTAGTCTTGTTGGAATTAGGGCAGCTTCATCCACATTTTCGAAGTTTGATTCACATTTGCGATATTTCTACTTTTCTGTCAATCTTCACAATTGTGAGGTTCAAGGTAACATTTGGATGATAACTTTACAATTTCGAACTTATGATTTTGTCTGCAGGATTTGCTATTGCGAGCCACAATCTCAATTGCAACATTGGAGAGTTGTCTTTTCGCCAACTTTCTATCCTCAATTCTTTTTATTGCTTTTGTCCAATTTCACTTCTTATCACTCCAAATCTTCTTTCACTCCAAAAATTTCTGAAATAAGGAAATTACACACCATACCATCTTTATAATAGCAGTAAAGGGCCCAAAAATAAAAGCAAAAGGACCCAAATAAGTAGTTAAATCACCACATATTAGTATGTTAAAGCATCTGGATAAAATTTCATAAAATGAAAGGATTGGAATGTCAAATTGGAACAAATATGAATGTGCATTAGGCTATTCGGCCAAAATAAAAGTAGGATCCTATATAAAAATATAAAACAAAAAAATACGTAAGTTGAAAAGAAAACAAAGGCACAACTCCACAACCGCAAGGGTAGTTGAAAAGTTTGAAATGGGTAAGCCAGTGTTTGACAATAGATCTTCGAATATTTTTGATAAGCTTTTTTTGGGTGAAGTTTCACCATGTGTCTGGCCATAATTTTTGGAAAAGATATTTAAGTTCTTAAAGAAATATGATTTATACTCATAATTTTTTAAGAACTACTAAAA